TGCTGAGAAGAAAGTATATTCTTTTGCATTTGGGTGAAAAGTTCAGTAGACATCTACAAGGTCCATTTGATTCATGACATCTGTTAGTTTCATTATTTCTCTATTTGGTTTTTGTCTTGATGATTTGTCCATTTGTGAGAGTGGGGTGTTGAGTCTCCCACTATTAACATGTGGGGATCGATGTGTGGCTTATGCTTTAATAATGCTTGTTTTGTTTTGTCTTACAAATATGGGTTGTAAGTATTTAAGCACCTGTTTCTGGGTGTCCTCATGTGTCGCTGCCCAGGTGGCCACACCTGGAAGGCATGGTTACCTTGTCCTTTAAAGAGAGCATCCCGCCACGTGGTCTCTCTTGCCTCTTGCTCTTTTGCTCCCGCTTGCTCTCTCTTGGCCCCTCTTGGCCTTCTTTCCTTTCTCTGTCAGGGTGGCCCTCTCTCTTTACCCCTATCATGTCCTGCTCTCCCTTTTCCCTTTCTCTTCATTTCCATCTAATAAACCTCTTTCATATAAAATCTATTGTGTGCCTAATCGTCATTATTTAATTTGTCCCCAACATGGGTGTCCTTGTATTTGGGCCATAGGTGTTCAGGATTGAGATGTCCTCTTGGTGATTTTTTTTCTTTGATGAGAATAAAGTGCCCTTCTCCATCTCTTTTGACTAATTTTGGTTGACAGTCTAATTTATTAGATATTAGGATGGCTTCTCCAACTTGCTTGTTGGGTCCATTTTCTTGGAAAATCTTTTTCCACCCCTTCACTCTTAGGTAAAGTCTATCTTTGTTGCTGAGGTGTGTTTCTTGTATGCAGCAGAATGTTGGGTCCCATTCATCCATTCTGTTAGATTGTGTCTTTTTATGGGAGTTGAGTCCATTGATGTTGAGAAATATTAATGACCAATGATTATTAGTTCCTTTTTTTTTATGATGGTGGTGGTAGTAGTGTGTTTGTGTGCTTATCTTTTTTATTTTGTTTTGCTGTAGTGAAGTTATTTATAGTCTGTGTTTTCTTGGGTGTAGTTAACCTTCTTGGGTTGGAGTTTTCCTTCTGGTATCTTCTGTAGGAAGGCATTTGTGCATAGATGTTTAAATTTGGTTTTGTCGTGGAATATTTTGTTTTCCCCATCTATGGTGATTGAAAACTTTGCTGGATCTAGTAGCCTAGAATGAAATCTGTGGTCTCTTAGGGTCTGCAAGACATCTGCCCAGGCCCTTCTGGCTTTTACAGTCTCTGTTGAGAAGTCAGGTGTGATTCTTCCAGGTCTGTCTTTATATGTTACTTGGCCTTTTTCCCTTGCAACTTTTCATATTTACATTTAGTGTTTTTATTATTATGTGGCAGGAGGAATTTATTTTCTGTTCTAATCCATTTGGTGTTCTGTAAGCCTCTTGTATGTTTAAAGGCATCTCTTTCTTTACATTGGGGGAATTTTCTTCTATGATTTTCTTGAAAATATTTTCTGGTCCTTAGAGCTGGAAATCTTCTCTTTCTTCTATTCCTAATATTCTTAGGTTTCATCTTTTCATGGTGTCCTTAATTTCTTGGATATTTTGTATCAGGAATTTTTCTATTTAATATTTTCTTTGACAGATGTATCTATTTCTTCAATTTTATCTTCTACACCTGAGAGTCTCTCTTCCATCTCTTGTGTTCTGTTGGTGATGCTTACCGCTGTGGTCCCTGCTCTCTTCCGTAAGTTTTCCATCGCCAGGCTTTCCTTGGTTTTGTATTTTCTTTATTGATTCTATTTCTATTTTCAGATGTTGAACCATTTAATTCATTTCCTTCACCTGCTTGATTTTGTTTCCTGTATTTCTTTAAGTTATTTATTCGTTTCCTCCTTAAAGGCCTCTATTTGTTTGGTTGTACTTTCCTGTATTTCTTTGAAGACACTACCATCTTCGTAAGGATAAATTTAAGGTCATTTTTGTGTTTCAGCTGTGTCACAATATCCAGAGCTCGCTGCTGTACTGCTCTAGTTTTTGTTGGTTACGTTCGTATGCTGGCCTTTAGCCATCTGGTTGTCCCTGGCATTGGCTGGTTGTTCCTGGAGCCTGCTGGGCTCCTTGGGGAAATAGGGGAGCCCTCGGTCGTGGCCTAGTGCTGGATCTTTCCAAGTAGCCTACAGCTCTGATCTGCTGGTTGTGCCCCAGTTGGACCTGAAGGCAGGGAACTAGGGTGTGGATTTCTAACCTGTATGATCCTGTGAGGTTCTGCGGGTCTCCTCAGGACAGCTAGTAGAGCTGTGAACAAGGCTGGATCCGCATGTCTCTGGAATCCACAGTTGTCCGCAGGGTGTCGGGAGTAGCCAGAAGGTCTGAAGGTGGAACCATGCGTGTCTGGCAGCCAGGATCCTCCCTCTGGGGAAACAAGAACCGATGCTCGCGTTTGGGAGTCAACAGCTCGGTGGCTTGCTCGTCCTGCAGACATTATGATCCTGGTGCTGAGACATTGCTGGGTGCCTCCATCTTGGATCAGGAACCCCTATGTTCCTATTGTACAGCTGGTCTTTCCGGGGGTTGGGAGGGAACCAATAGAACCATGGACCGGAGTCTGGACTGTGTTCCTGGTATCTGGGAGTTGTCCTCAGGGAGGCAAGAGGACTCTGGGGTCTGGATGCGGGAACCATGCATTTCTCAAACTCTGGAACTCAGGAATCATGTTGGAGGAGGCAAAGGCACCAGGTGCTAGGCACCTAGGATCTCCTCTCGACCTGGAAACACAGATGTTGGGGTTTTCGAGTCAGCAGCCAGGTCATTCACTTGGTCCGTAGTCTGTGATCTTCTGCTACTAAGATACCAGTACACACTGGGTGCCGCCATCTTGGAAGGTCACTTTCTTTCATCTCAAGTTTCTTTTAATCCCCGTACCAATCTCATCACTTGTGATAGATACACTTATGTTCATTATCTCTTCTTGGTTTAACTTTGGAAGGTCATATGCATTTAGAAATTCACACATTTTTTTTAGCTGAAAAAAAATTTCCTTATTTTAAAATCTGTTTTACTGGACCATTGAGAAACTTCTCCCTTAATCTGTTCTCAATTTAAATTTTTATTAGCTCATAGGTTGATATCAGCATATACCAGTTTCTATCAGCATGAAATCTATCTTGAAAGAAAAAATATACAAACATAAACTTTCCTTATGGGCTTGTACAAAAGGTAAGTATTTGCTCCTGGTGGTTCACACCTGTAAAGCCAGCACTTAAGAGGCCAGGCATTCAGAATACTGGACAGGTAAAACCAAAGAACCCTGTGATGTATCAATATTGTAAAAATGTGCTATCAACATTAATCTACAGAGTCAATGCAATCCCCATCAAAATTCAAACGACAACAAGCCAAACAACCTCATCATTAATGGGGGAAAGAAAATGAACAGATGTGCCATTAAACACATGAAAAAAAGTGTCAGCTCTCATTAGCCATCAGAGATATGCAATGAAAGCTACAGAGATTCCATCTCAACCCAGTCAGACTGTCAGTCATCAAGAAACCAAATAAGCAGGCTGGAGAGATGGCTCAGTGGTCAAGAGTACTCTCTGCTCTTCATAGAGGTCCTGAGTTCAATTCCCAGCAAACACATGGTGGCTCACAATCATCTGTAACGAGATTTGATGCCCTTTTCTGGTCTGCTGGCACACATGCAGGCAGAACACTGTATAAGTAATAAACAAATCTAAGGAAGGAAGGGAGGGAGGGAGGGAAGGAGGGAGGGAGAGAGGGAAGGAGGGAGGGAGGAAGAGAGGGAGGGAGAGAGAAAGAAAGAAACCAAATAACCACACAAGTCTGGAAACCTGAGTTCCATCCCTTGAACCAATCAAATTGTTTTCTGACCTCCAAAAGCACAATGTGGCAGTTGTGCCCCTAAACACAGATATGCACTTATGCATATGTGCATGTGTGCTCATGAATGCAACATTTGGAATTATTTTTATGACAGCAAACATTCGATTTGAACCCCAGTTAAGCAAAAGGCTGTTTTTCTGCTGTTTTACTTTTTGTGTATTTTGTTTTATTTTGGAATTTTGAAAATGGTTATCACTATGTCACCCAAGCTGGCCTTGAACACAAGACCCTTCTGCCTTTGTCTTTCAAGTGCCAGGATTACATGTGTGCACCACCATGCCCAACTGTAATGTTACCTCGAAAGCTCTACTTAGGGAAATATAGGTGACAAAAGGTTGTACTCCAGTGTTTTATTATGAGCTTTGTGAATAAAAAAATTTTGAGTAATATGTTTGCAGGTACATTTATAGCAATTGGATAAGAAGAAGAATGTTGCTGTTTGTTCAATATTCTATATATTTCATGACGACTCATGCTCAATCTCATTTTACAGTTTTATTGATTATAATTAAATGTTTATGAAAACAAACCAATTAAAGCAGATTACTCTGAAGATTGAGTAAAACCTGATGCTGCTGCGCTAGCTAGACACCACCAAGGTTAAATGTCATCAGTGCAGCCCTGCTGATAGAGTCATCTAGTCTGAAGCAAGGGAACCTCCCATCGTGAGACTTCAGAGTTTCCAGGAAGACAGACGCCTTTTAAAGCAAAACTCAGTTCTAAGCAGCTCTTATTGAGTTCCTGGGAGTGCTTTACTTTTGATCCGAGTGCTGCATTAATGAAATTTAATGAAAATCAATGTATTTATTTTCCTAGAAGTACATAACATCAGTACTCTGTGATACTGTTTATATACATTTATAATGTAAAAAATTGTAGATTTCTTCATAGCTACTTGACAGGCACAACAGATGGAAATTGTTTGTACACTATTTGATATTTTTTTTTAAAACCAACTTGCTGCGTATCCCAACATGAGCATCTTGATGGCGATGACAAAGCTGAAAGGCTTTTGAGTCAAGTAAAATTGCGCGCTACATTGGCCAGTGGATGAGACAACAGTGAGGACCGTCAGTGGAAGCCTTAAACCTGAGCAGGCAGCACGCCGAGGTAGCAGCATGATGCACCCTCTGGTTTGCTTTTGTCTTTAAGGAGCAGCTCTGGCTGCACGCAGAAGAGCAGCACCTACGTGGGCGCTCCTGCCTCCACCGGTTTCAGAAAGCCTCCCCTGACGAATTGAGAAAATGCAGAAGATCTTGCAGGCAGATGAAGTTACCGATAACCACGTCCTTAGAAAAAGAAAGAGGAAACGGACGGAGACCGCCAACTCAGAAAATGCAAATAGTGTGGTGGATAAAGTACAGGTTGGTTTTCTGTTGCTTTGATTTCATCTTCCTAACCAGCGAGGCCCACAATTCCCAACGTTGTTTCCAGGTACTTTCTTCCCTTTTCTAGTACTTTGTCCTTTTCAATGCTTGGTTCAACTGAGAGAATATAGTTCCTATTCTCTTTTGAAGACTGAGTTAGAAACACAGTCAATAAACAGTTTTCCTGCTTCATTTCAGCCAGGACCGGATATGTCATTGTTCGAATTTTGTTTGCTGTTCTAGACAACAAAAGATCATCAAACTGCCTGAAAATATTTTTCCTCCTGAAATATTTTGTGGAAGTTGGTATATTTGTGCATGAAGACTTACTCTCGGTTTTTCTGTTTAGAATCTAGATCGTGGCCATCCTCACCATCTCTTTCCCATCCTATACGTTGGACAACTAACCAACAACTTGTTCATTCTGTAGTTTTACTTATATGTCTTTATAAGTCACATATTTGTACATGTTTAGTAACACATGTACCATGTTGTAGTCACACGTTCTTAAATATTCCTCACCATCTCTGCCCCACTCTGCCCCATTTCACACTTATTGCTTTTTCTATCTCAAAATAAAATGTAACATCATTTACACTGCTATGTACTTGGATTTTTCTGCTGACCATTTAAAGATCTGTCAACACACAACACACAGCTTTTTTTTTTTTTTTTTTACAAGCTGTAATCCTACTGTCTGTATGAACCATCCTTTAGGTAGCTATCATACAGGAAGGGATTTTTCAGTATTTTTCATATTGTAGTGAACATTATACTGTAAAACACAATATATATATCATCCAGTAGCACACGGATATCATATAAATCCTAGTTTGTTTCTTTTTTTTTAAATAAGCATTTAATTTTCCAAAAAGTGTTTATGAGACTTGATGTAATGAGATACTTAGAAGTTGTAAAACATTTTCTGTAGAGAAACAAATTAACATCACCATCATCTTACAGATTTATTCACTTTTGGTTATCTTTAGGACTAACATGACTAAATTCTATTGAGTTAGCATAGCTATACTCCACAACTTATATTCATATGAAATACATAGGAAGATGACCTGTGACTTCGAAATTGCATGTTTGTTTCTATTAATTGACTAGATATTATTTAATTAATCAATCCATTCCATGGATTAAACCCTTAGTGATTAATTCTGAGTCGCCAATAATTACCCCTTTGCGTCATTTAACCAGATTTGAAATCACTACGTCATGCTCCCAACCTCTGATGACTATATGTTGTGTGAGTGGCAATCTGTCATCCTGAAAGCCATCTTGTGAAGCTGTTCTTGTGTCTTGTCGTTGTGTGCCTGTCTGTTCTGTCTTTGGCTGTCTGTCTTCCCCATGTGTGGCAGTGTCTATGTAAGTCTGTTGTGTGGCTGTGATCTGACTCTGCTCCTGACAAAGGGCTCACTCTGTGTTTATTCAGTGGCACAGGAAGCATTACATGGGGAAGGAATGGGACACCACTTCACAGAAATCTACAACAGAGTTTCGCAAGGGATTAAGTCACTGGCTCTAGCTGATCCCAACTGACTCAGACAACAAACAGTACCAAAAACATTGTTTATCAACCAATACCCATAAGTGGATGCTTTCAACCTTTATGGCAGATTTTAGACAGTTGCTTTCAACCTCTGGATTGGCTGCCTTCAGCAAATGATACACACGCACTACCCAGGTCTGAGGCATAAAAGGGTATATACAAGTAAGGTTGACTCTCACATTGTTCTCTTAAAGGCAGGTTTAAAAGAAAAAAGCTGAGCAGACAGTAGGATAGAAGTCTTCAATCTTAAGTGACCTTGAGGTGCACTATTAACTCTGTCTGTGAAGTCCAGCAACAGTTTCAGTCTTGTGGAATCTAAGAGATGTTTTCACAACATTACATTGCCACATAACATGATTTTTCTGAAGGTCCCACCACAGGCAAAAGCTTTCCAAACTACGTAATTCTATTTGTTTCCATTGCAGTTCACCCTAATCATGTTTTAGACATCCCTGATTCTGTCCACCAGTTTGGATTTTTGTTTGTTTGTTTTGAGACAGGGTTTCTCTGTGTAGCCTTGGCTGTCGCAAGTTTATAGAGTATAAGCTTGGGAAAAGAAGCTTGAGGGTAGAAAAAGGAAAAAGCTCTGACATGAAGAAAGCTTCTGAGACACACAAAGGGAAGAGACACTGCTGCTTGGACAGGGAGCCTGGGGAATACATGCTCTCTTTGCCCTGTGCGTATGTTTATTTAAAAAGAAACAAACTCCGTTAAAAGCACTGCCTGTCCTCAGATCCCCTGCAGTCTGTCTGCTCTGGATGTAGGCATCTTCAGTCTTGCCTGTGCTGTGCTCAGTCCCCTTCCTCCCCACCACAGGCTAAGCAACCCGTCCGTCACCGCACTGCGTCCCTAGCCTGCTTCTTAGAAAAAAAAAAAAAAAAAAAAAAAGCACAGTTATGCAATCCTGAGTCTTAAATATAAATATCTTTTGCACATCATAGATTACATATTGTGTATAACACATGTTTCTAAATAATTTATCATTCATTTCCGTTTCTGATTCCTGTGTCCCTTTGGGGGAAGGTTTGCACTATGTTGCTTAGAATAGCCTTTTCTATGTCCTGTCCCGAGCTCTTGCGGGTAGGAGGGCAGATTTGGGGCCGCGCATTACGGAGCCGCAGGCGGAAGCAGACATGCGCAGGTCTAACGGAGTGGCATACAGAGCATGGGTAGCAGTTAAAGGAACCGCAGTGTCTTTTGCTGTGCATGCCTTGTGTTCTAGAGAGACCCGTATTCGGGAAATGCCTTCCTGCCTGGTGAGAGCTCCAGTGAGGATGAGACGCCCTTGGCAGAACTGTCCAAAGAGGAACTCTGTACCAAAATCAAAAACCTGAAAGCAAAGCTAACGAACACCCGGAAGGAGAACAGCCGGCTCAGACAGTCTCTGGTCACGCTACAAGGTAAACCTGAAGGGGGCTGGCGTTTGACATGAAAGGGGCACTGTGTGATCAGTGTAAAGTATTGTATTCTTGCACGCCAACAGTTTAAAATGGAGAAGAGAGCTCAAAAGTTCCATTTGAAGAGCTCAGTGGACAGCAGAATTTAAATACGGAAGCGTTGTGGTTACGTACATAGTTGAGATCGTCGTACAATGTCCCGAACATTATACTCATGTAGTAGTGCTTAACAGGTATTTACTCAACTTGAGCTATGGACGTGCTGGGCCTCGGGGGGGGGGGGGGGGGAATTAGGTCAAACAAGTATATGTGCTTTCCAGACTCTGGAAAGTGGAAACTTGTGATCTGCTAAGAGCCACTGGTGTTACTGGTTGCAGAGGCTTCACATAAGCCTCTGTGTTGTCAACAGCAGCTTTAGAAAATAACTGCAGTCCAGAGGCAAATAGAAGAGAAGGATCAGCCTGGGAGAGAGGGCGGGAAACTAGCTTGATATTTTCTTTTTTCTGTAGGATTTTGTGTTGTGTTCCACTTCATTTTATAATTGTGTTATTCTCTGAGCTCTTGATATATGTATACAATGTGTCATACATGTACATATACAATGTGTGTGTAAAGCACAACAATAGGAGATAAACACGGAGAGGAAAGTGTTTGCACAGCCTCTTTTGCCTCAGCAATCATCGAATACCTGAGAGCAAATGTCCGATGGGTTGGTGGTCTCAGAGGTCTTGGGCCACGGTCTGTTGTTTCTGGGCCACAGTGAGGTAGAGCATCTTGGCAGAGGCATGGAAGAACAAAGTTGCTTGTCTTACAGTGGAAAGACATAGAAGGAAGGGTCAGAACAAGACAGAGTCCCCAAGAACGTGCCCTCAGTGACCTACCACAATGTAGGCCTCATCTCTCAACATTTCTACTACCTCTCAGTGAATCCAGGGCTGGAGAGATGACTGAGCAGGCAAAAGCTCTTACTGCTTGTCCTTTCAGAAGACCAAGTTCCAAGCACCCATGTCAGTTGCCTCACCTCCTCATCACCTCTAGCTTCAGGGGACTCAATTCCCTTTTCTGGCTCCCTCAGACACCCACAAATTTCTGTCAGCAGAGACTCACACAGACACACACACGTGAATAAAAAAATTTTAGATAATTTTTTTTTTTAAATCTTAGGAAACCACCTATGGGTCAATACATTGACAAGGGTGGACCCTTCATGATCCAGTCAGCGCTCAGTCATCTGCTCACCATCTGGGGCCCAGACTTCTAAGATGTGTAAACCCAGCCTTGAATTAAAGCAAATAAAATGTTAAAATGCTTACTAGTTTAAAGGAGTTAGTCAGAGGTAAACTATTATGCACTAGACGGGAGGTTCTCGCCCTTCCTAACGCTGTGACCCGTTAGCACAGCTCCTCGTGTTGTGGTGACCCCCCAACCATAAAATTGTTTTCATTGCTACTTCATAACTGTAATAACTGTAATTTTGCTACTGTTATGAACTGTAAATACCTGTGTTTTCTGATGGTCTTAGGTGACCCCTGTGAAAGGGTCATTTGACCCCCCCAAAGGTTGCAACCCACAGGTTGAGAGCTACTGAAGTAGACATTCTTATAAACATTCTATAAAAGCCCTGTAAGTTCCTAAGAAACTACAATAACAGGGGGGGAAAACAGTTGAGTAGGCTCTCATTCATCAGGGCTTCATGAGACCCTGTAGCATAACAAAGCAAGTAAGGCAACAACAACAAAAAACAAACAAACAAAAAACACGAGTTTCCCATGATCTGACACGATTTATGGAAGAAATTCAAATAATCAAAAACACATATATTTAACCTCATAACTGAGAGTGTACTAAAACTTTGACCTGTCAAAAAGGTGAAATTGTTAACAATTATTAACACCTCTTACTGCTGACTCAAGGAAAGGGCTTGAATGGTTGATGACTGTGTAAAGTAGAGAAACCTTTCTGCAGAGCCACTCAAGAGTGTGATCTGAGTCTTAAAAACATTGTTTACCTGGTGACCCTGCTATGCTCTCGGGACTCTTCAGCATTGACAGGATTGATCAGAGATGCAAATGAGATGTATGCTCTGATTTCACCGGGGTCCTCTGACAAAGAGAAGCGGGAAGCAAATTTATCCAAAAAAAAAAAAAAAAAAAAAGAGGTATCTGTATCTAAAAATACTAGAGAATCATCACAATTATGCCTTCTAATGGCAAATAGCTATAACAGGTGAATTGATTATTCATCACAGAGTATGAATTGCAGAATAGTGAAGTACTAATTAGCGAAAAAACAAAAGGAATCAATTATTTATACACAGTGTGAATGGATTTTAGGGGATTGTGCAGAGCTGAGAAAGAGAAAACTAAAGTGTAAAATGGAAGGTGTATCTTTGAAGGTGCTCAGGTTGAGTTGTAGAACAAACAAAACTTGTCTGTACCTGAAGAAACAGGTGCCTCTGAAGCAAGGAGCTTTCTTGCTCGGTCTCGAAGAACTTCCTGGCTTAAACCCATCCCCTTCCTTTATTTCCTCTTTGACTATGTAAATTAGACTTCAAAATCCATATTTCCAAGAGCTGATGAAACAGGCGAAAATTCACCCACAGCCTTAATTGGAAGGAGAGCTGGGACAGAATGCTATGTGCCAATATGCTCGGCACAATATAGTGAATGCCAACAGCGGTAAGAAAGTAGAAATGAGGAAGAGGTGTGCTGATACCCGGGCCCAACCTCCACAATCAGAGAAACCGGCAGAGCCTGGAAGCCTGGCTCATGGTGGATTCCCTTTTCTCCGAGTTCCAGTTTTGGCCCTTCAGGTTCCAGAGTAGGTGTTCCTATGCCTCTGATGACCTCTCTCCTTCTCTATGGCTACTTAATTCGTGCTTTGCCTCCTGCTCTCAGCTCAGTCTTGACCATCTCAGAGAAGATCTTGTCCTCCCTGAGTCAAATCCCGGTCCTGATTTCGAGTACTGGTACTCTGACAAAATATTTCCTATAAGCAGCTTAAAGGAGAGAGCTCCTGCGGCTGAGAGTTTGAGAGGATTAAATTTGTGGACATCTGGTTCTGTTTCTGGGCCTAGAGTGAGGGAGTGCATTTGGTGGAGAAGCGGCTGATGTCAGAACAGACAAGAAGAAAAAGCGAGGCAGGAACCAGGGACCAAGTATAATGTTGAAAGGCATGTGCTGTGGGGCTCCTCCAAAAGTTTCTACAACCAGCTGGGTCCCAGCCATTCAACAGATGAACCTCAGCAATGTTTCATGCAAAGCTATACCATACTTCATGTATGTTGTCTTCATGGCACTTACACATTTTCTTTGGGTCTACAAGTTAGCATCCAAATGCTAAATTTGTCCAAGATGTCTGACACCAACTACCTTATAGTCATAGCTGTATTTATTTGGGGGTGGGGGAGAAGGATACAAGGGAAGAGGGCGGAGTCTAGGCTACCAGATATAAAGCTGTTGTGATGTACACCTTAGTCCTCGGTCATTGTGTGACTGACCCTGAGAAAGCTCCCCCAGAGCTCTGGCGCCCGAAGACTTCCTATAGCTTCCTTATGGATGTAAGTATGATCGGTTGATTGATCGACTTTGAACACTTTGTCATATGGTGGAATTTTTTGGATTTCTGGGTCCAGTCTACTTCAGACTATTGGGTACAAAAGACTCAATTCCCAGTGATTTCGTTAGCATATACTCCTATGTGTATTTACAAGGATTCACTACCATTAGCAGACACTCCTGTCACTTCAGGAAAATCCAAGGGTTTACCTTGTTCAGTAAATGATTGCTGATTGATTAAGTAGCGGCACACATGTCCTGGTTTGGATACACCATCAGCTATTGTTCAACAAAAAATGCTAAGTAAAGATACTCCCCAAAAGGAACTGAGAGTCTTTCTTTCTAGAACAAGCAGCACCCTCAACTACTGAGTGAGGGATTAAATCAAGCCGAGTCCAAGGTCTCTTGCAACTCCAATGATAAGCTATTTGTCCTTAGAAAACAAACAAGCTATAGCACAAAGACTAGTCTACAGGGTTCTATGAAACTTTGAATATGTCGGTTTCCAATAACAAAAAAGAAACAGAGTTGGTTCAGTTGATCTCTAAGACTTTTTAAAATGTGACAACATGGGTTTGAGTTGCAGCCATACAGCTTTGCTAGTTTGATGAAATTTGGCTCCCTGGCTAACAATCACAAACTTTATTTTAACCCATGGTTAGCTGTAACTAACGTTACATTGTATCTTGACCTAATGTTACATTGTATCTAACTGTATCTTGGCCTAATGTTACATTGGTTCCTAGGAGGCGACTGATAATGGATCAGTTATGTCACTACACAAGAGCTCAAATCATGCTCCTGCAGTTTGAAAAGAATCAACTTTTGAAACATTGTTTTCAATTCAAAACGATGCATAGACATTCAAATATAAACAAAGTTTTGAAAGTCATGATCAAGCAGATTATTAGAAGAAGTAAAACGTTTTAAACATACACTGTGCCATTGCTACCAAGTGTTTGTAAAGTGTCCCTTTCTGTTGCCATTTCAGTGTTACCTCAGGCAGTCACCCAGTTTGAAGAGCTGGTTGGAATGGCAGAGGCCCTGCTTAAGGGTGGAGGGGCCTCATCCACACCTGCGTCCACTCTCTGGCGAGCAACAAACAACTCCTCCCCAGATTCCTTTGCCTCTCTATGCAGTAACTCCAACTCTAGTTCCAGCTCCCCAAGCTCCCTGAAGGCTGAGGAAGAGCCGCACCTTGGTGAGAAGCAGGTTGGTGGAAACGCCTTCCCTCTGGTGTCTGGACACAGCTGCAGCGGCTCTGGCCAGACTTGGGTCGCCACCCTTAGAATCCGATCACAAAGAAGCATTTTATTGTAACGATGAAAGTTCATATTTGTGAAACACACCCCAAGTTTAGAAAACTAAAGGCAAATAAAGCGTGAGTATGACGGCAGCTTTTGAACCATAAAACTCTTGCACCGATGAGAGAAATATACTCAGGCATGAGTGGTGAGTCTTTGGGTCACTGGAGACGTGGTGGGCCTCCGCATTTTTGATGCGCACAACCATTTTCTCCTGTTCCTCTTCATAATGAAAAAAGGAAACTAAAAAATGTAAAGCTTTCGTTAAAACCGGGTATAAGCCTAAGAAAGTGGCTTTTCCAAGGTGGTAATGAAGTCCTAGCGATCTAATATTCAGAGTGTCTGAATCTTTGTATGTAAGTTCCTATTGCTACGCAACAGATTACCACAAACTCAGTGGCTTCACATAACACAAATTTACCGTCTCAGAGTTCCAAAGTTCAGAATCCAGCACAGAGCTCACCGGCCTGAAATCAGTGTGAGAGCAGGAACATTCTTTATGTATTTAGTAAATACACTAAATTCTGCACTAAGTTAGAACTTGTTTTCCCGTGCTTATAGAAATGAATTTGCAGTTTCCTTCCTGGATGCAGATTGCTCATGCCCACTTCTAACACCCCTGGTGCTTAGCTTAGGGCTCCTCCTGCCACCCCAGTCATGCCCCTCACATCACGTCTTTCCTCCTTTCTTTCTTTATCTTTTTGGTTTTTTGGGGGGACTCCCCTTTATCTCCATCTTCATCTTTTAAGGACGCTGGACCAACCTGGCTGATCCAGAATAATTATCCACCTCAAAATGCTTAACTTTAACTACATTTGAGTGTCTCCACTGAAGTAGTATACCCACAGGAAGCCAAGCCTCGGAGGGCACATCTTCATCTTCTCGATTTCCCCAAACATTTAAGTACGGAGTACTGAGGCTACAGTTGATCTGAAGGCATCACATTGAGATGACCCAACAAAAAAATTGCATATATTTCATGCAAAAACCTCACGAAGGCTGACAGACATTTCAAGTATGATAATTTCCTCTATGTGAAATGTAAAATATTTACAAAAAGTAAGAAATACCACCTTAAAGAGTGCTGATATTTTGTGGTATGTCTTAATTAGTATTTTTTTATTTCTCCAGGTATCATCTCTTTTTCTAATTTCAGTTATCATTTCTTATTTTTTAGTTCAAGATTGAAAAATGGCAGATTGCCCGTTGTAATAAGAGCAAGCCTCAGAAATTTATTAATGATTTAATGCAAGTACTTTACACAAATGAATACATGGCCACACACAGTCTGACTGGGGCAAAATCCTCTACTTCAAGGGACAAAGTTGTAAAACCAGCTATGAATCAGAATGAAGTTCAAGAAATCATAGGTGATACTTTGATTGCATTGTATTTTCACATGAACTTGAAATCATGTTACCATTCACAGTTGGTCATTGTTTCCCGGTCCTTTTCGTTTTGTTTTGTTTTCAATTTTATTTTTTTATGAAAAAAATTTTAAAATAATCTAGTATTGTTGTTAAATATGAAAAGATAGGAAAACTTTTTTATTAAAATGGTTATGAAATCTGGCCATGGTGGTGCCTGCTTGTAACATCAACACTTGAGAGGTGGTGGTGGGAGGGTCAGGAGTTCAAGGTCATTCCTGACTACACAGCAGAGTCAGCAGCCAGCCTAGGCTGTGTAAGATCTTGTCTCAAAAAGGAAAAAAAAAAAAAAAAAAAAAAAAAATGGATGCTGAACTAAAAGTCAAGTGTCTAAAATGGAGAAGTTTGGATTAATAAAAATCAAAGCTTCAGAAAATAACAATTTCTCTATTTAAAAATTTTCAGTAACGATTTGTATTGTTTTCTCTTTGTTAGTTATATGTTTCTAGAAAGAGATGGTTTTAACCGTATGGTTTTAAAATTAGTGAATCTCCTTAAAAACGAACACCTTCCCCAGTTTTAGTTTTGTTTTATGCAAACATCCAAAAATTTTAGAGACCCTCTGACAGAGCTCTTTGCTCACTGTTTCTTAATTACAAGTGATTGTAAGAAACGCATGAGACAAGTCCCTGACGGCTTGGAACAAAAGCGTGGCGTCCACAGCGAATGAAAGGGTTAAATCCGAATGATTGGGGGGGACAGACATACATGAGGGATTCATAGAACCGCCCTTCTGCCGGCTTTGGCTCTGCTTTGGAAACCTGGCCATCTTCATCTGCTTAAATATGTCGTGACTAATTGGGCCCCTTTCGGAAAACTGACAGAAGTATGATTTGCCTCAGTTCATAGGGTACAAACTCCTCACGCAGTACTCTTGTGTGTGCCGCTGTGATCTTTTTCAGGAGTGACGAAGCAGGTATTTCCCAGCGCAGATGATGTGTCAATTAGAAGGATGATAGGACAAAAGCTGAATAACTGCACCAAGAAGCCGAATGTGAGCAAACCTCTTAACTCTCAGGATATTAAGTAGATCCTAACGGTATGTCTTTCAAATGCTCACCCTCTTTCATGTAACAGACTCTATCCTGCTGTACCTTGGACTGGCATTTTCCACATGCTCAACTAGGGATCTTAGGGGACCGTGAGATGCTGCTGTGGGTAGGAGGAGGACTAAGGAGGGATGTCAATTTGGGCAGTGCAGAATCCCGTCCAGCAAGGTTCCTGTTTCCTCCCCACTGAACCTCTCAGATACTGGGGTGGGTACAGGTTGCTCTTAAAATCAGTTATTACAATTTAATATGGTTTCTGTTTGTTTCTTTGTTTTTCAAAAGTCAAGCATTGACCCGTGCAAATATGTGAGGTAGAATGTTGGTTGTTTCAGCTTTGCAATGACATCTCTCTGCTGTAATGTATATTCAGTGTGTTCCCGTGAGTTAAAGGCCTTGCCTCCTGCCTGCTGCTTCTGGGGGATGCTAGGAACTCTGGGAGTTTGGTCCTCACGGAAGCTCTTCTGGTTATTGAGGCATGCCTCCGAAGGAGACTGGGGATCTTGATCTCTTCCTCTTCCTTTTCTGTGCCCCTTTCACAAGGGGCTTCACCACACACTCCCCCCTTGCTGTTCCTCCCCACAGGCCCAGCTGAGCGACTACAGGGACAGTCATTCATGGACAGAAACGACCACTAAGAGACTAAATGGACCTTTTCTCCCCATAAAATGCTTGCCCAGGATAGTTGTCACAGTAGCTGAAAGCTAACTAACACACTCTCTTCTTCACTGTTTTCATGGAAAAACTGTGGGGAAAAAAGTACATATTCTTGTACTAATGATGTACATCGACTCATGGAGGTATATAGAACCAACATTTTAGTAGGGTTCGCTTAAGGCATAAAAATGTCTCCTTTTTTTTTTTTACATTTATTTAGTGTGTAATCACACATACACACACGTGCACATGACCACAGAGCAGTAGTAAAGAGCAGGGGACAACTCATGCAGGCCGTGGTGCTCACCTCCCACACAGTGGGTTCTGGGCTTGAACTTGTACCCAGTTGTGTAGCGTTTTCATACAGCCCTACCTGCCTCCATTCCTTGAGACTGCGTTCCACACGGGCTATGGAACTCTTTGTGCTGCACTAACCCACCCCATCCCCTGCCCATGGCTGCTGTCAGCTCGAAGGTTCTTGAGGGTCCTGTTTCCACCTTGTTACACAGAAAGGCCAGTTCCGGCAACAGTGAGCATCTTTTCCTAAATAGATAGACCAAGGAAAAGGGAGAACAAGCTACAGATAATAGCAGCAGTGGCGTTCTGGCCGTCAGCCCACACACACTAGCCAGGTATCTTGAGTTACAGCAGGTAAAGATAGTTGTCTCCCTGTTATCCGTTGAGCCTTTATAAACTTCAGCATGCTGTGAATTTTGTGCCTTTCTAACTGTGAGCTTTTTGGTGATGTGTGCCCCGGAACTTCTGATGCTGACCCGAGGTTACCCAAGGTTTCTTCTGAGTGCCACATAGCCAGCTCTTCACGTTCACAGCTCTTCACGGCTCTCTTTTGCAGCACACTATCATATTTCAGAAGTCCATAAAGCGTTTTAATGCCCCAGTTGACACCATCCTTACACCGTAGAGCAGAGGCTCAGCAGACGTCTCTGACTGCGCCAGCCACCAAAGGGAATGAACATTCAGAGATTTTTACATCAGTGTTGCTTGTACCTGCCAGTAACAGTGCAATTAAAGTGCCTTGATCCAAATAAATTCAAATCAAACCAGAGGAGCAGGGCCTAGTGGTTTGTGCTTGTGATCCAACAAATGGGAGGCCTTGAGTTCTAGGCTAGCCTGGGCTACATTTCACTAGACTATGCTTCCCTTTAAGGCAAGATCTTGTCCCATAAAAATTTAAATAAATGACAAATGTTTTTCTATGAATACACTCTGTTCTTGTGATCCTGGGCCTGGCATTTTTTTTTCTCTTCTTAGACTAGGAAGGATAAGAATTTTGAGTAAGATTTGGAAATCAACACTAGAATGGAAACTTTTAGATAGGATATATCCTTCTTTTGGAGTCATACAAATTATGTCCTAAAGACGTGGGGAAAGAGGCTGCCAGAAAAGAGGATCGCCTTTCTTCTTTCTTCCTTCTTTCTTTCTTTCTTTCTTTCTTTCTTTCTTTCTTTCTTTCTTTCTTTCTTT